TTGCAGACTCTGGATTTCAGACTCCCAAGTTGTTGAATTCACCTGAGTACATAACAGATTTGTCACGTTCCAAATTCAAAGACAGGGTTACTCTCTTCCACTCCACAGTTTTTTGCTTTACAGTGGTCTCCTTATGACTAGATCATCAGTCCATCATGCTGCTGCCAGTGTTCCCAGTCACCTCTCTTTTACCTCAGTCTACCCATCCATGAGGATGATGGGTGTTTATTCACATGGACTACCGCCACTTCTATCCATAGCCTTGACATAGCATCTGAGTGTGCTGCCTTTGAAACACACACAGTCTTCTCTGGTCTCACCAGTCAGCCAGAAAAGACAATTAAGTGTGCATCTTGCTCTAGGCTCCTGTTTGGCTCTCTTCAGTGGATTCTTGTCATATACAAAAGAATCCTTATGCCTTCCTCAGATCTGTTAGGCCCTCTAGGATTTGGTCCCCACCCATCTTTCCTGACCTTATTTTCTAACTCTCTTACATTTTCTAACTCCCTCCAGCATTCCTGGCCTTTCTCCTGTTCCTCACACACACCACGATGTGAGAACATGGGCGTATTGAAATGTCAGACCCAGCTGAGAAGAACTTAATTAAAAAGTAGAAAAGAGAAGAGAAATTGAGGGGTGAAAAGCTTCAAGAAGGTGGGAAGGATAAGTCTCTAAGCCCAGGTGGAAATTTGTCATCTCCGATAGAAGAAATGCCTCCACTAGCCTTAGTCTCAGTCTCTCTCCCCGTCCCCCCACCTCTCCCTGTGTGTATGAATGCAAGTGTGTTATGTATATGCAGATATGCACCTGTGTATGTGGGGCAGAGGTCAACCTCGGTTGCTTGTCCTCAGGTGCTACCTCCCTTGCTTTTTGAGATGGAGTCTCCCATTATCCTGGAACTTTCCAAGTAGGCTAAGCTGGCTAACTAGCAAGCCTCATGGTTCCACTTTGTCTTTGCCTCTAAAATGTAAAAATGTAAGCATGTACCACCATATCTAGGGTATTAGAAATGTGGGCCCTGGGATCAAACTTCGGTCCCATTGTTTGTGATAAACACTTTAGTGACTGAGAAAAGCCTCCAGCCCTGCTTCCTACAGTGTTACAGGGAGAGGAGTGTAGAAATGGTTGCTGGATCAGAGGTTCAGATGAGAGATCTGGGGGTGGGGGGGAAGAAAGAGCAACAAAAATTATTACGATAAAACTTATCCAGGACTGGCCTCAAGTTCAGAGAAGAGATGAATATCTTGATAGTCACCTAATTAACTTCTAAACTTACCTTTTGAACAAAACATTCAACAATTTCCTAGAGAATGAAACCTTGAGCTCTGTGCTTATTCCTTCCGTATGGAACTGGAAAAGTAACAATGCCTGCTCTGTTGATAAAAACAGATAATTACACGGCATTGTAATACTCTTTTTGTCAGAGGTCACAGCTAGGCTGAATGCTTCAACTTGTCTTATCAACCGACCATTATACTACTAGTAAATGTTCACTCATGACACAAACGAATGAGTGAGTGAATGAATGAAAGACTGAGTTTTAGAAGAGGGAGAACCGTTACTTCATAGAATTGGGAGAAGCCACTGGAAATTTTCTCATTGGCAAGGAAACAGTTGAATCTCAAATCAGTGATCCAGTCTTGCTTAGCATGGGTGCCCAGCTGTAGGAATGCCCTTGAATTACATGCTTGTCCCATTCACCTGCAGCAAGATGACCAGAGCTACTGAGACTCTGCTTATGCCCTCTGCTTTCCTCAATGTTCCTTGCCTTTTACTCCTTTTACATCAAACGCTGAGGTGGGCATGTCCTCAGCCTACTGTTTTCACTGGCATGTAGGTTGGGAACCACTTCATCTCAGATGCTTTGGATAACAGACTCAAGATCCACACTGGTCTTGAGAGACTATCAATTAGCCAGAGGAGATGAATTGAATGAGATTTAATGTAATGTTATCCCTGAGGTCTACGGAGTGAATGGAAAGAATGGAGAGGAGGAGTTGCATAGGTTCTTCTGTACTGAGGAAAATGCAACAAGACAGACATGGAAAAGTGCAACACAGGGGCCAAAATCTGGGGGAAGCCATGCAAAACACTTTTCAGGATGTTCTCTTTCATCAACATTTATTTAATGTTTTGTAATATGATATGTTCCTGGTTGGCCATCAGCCTCTAGATAAAGAATGGGCCTTATTCTAGATCAGACCTTCAGTTTGGCTTTTCCATTCAGTCAAATATTTTCCCCTCTGCCCTTCCGTAAGAATTGTTCTGAAAACGATCCCAGACAGCCAGCTTAAGTGAAAATAGATTCTGGCATTCATGAGGTGCTCTCTTGAGTGATCCACCTGCATTATCACATTTAGTCTTCGTCTCAGTCCTTTGAGCATGGAATTTTATTAGGTCCATCTTTTATGTGAGAAATTGAGGTTGAGAACGGAATAAGGGGCTTCACTGAGGCAACAAGATCATCAGAGCTTTTGGGTTATTGGATTATGCAGGTCTACTTTCAAAGGCTGTTCCTTACCCTCACCATTCCAAATGAGATCATGGACACATATATAAACACACACACACACACACACACGAGCACAAGCACACACACACAGACACTGTCAATACTGTGGAGACTGTGTCATCCCCAAACAAACATGCTTACTTATGACCATGCCTGTGGCTTTCTCCTAAAAACTACATTCTTTCCGACCAGTGTGCTCTAACAAGGTCTGGTTCTAGCAAATTTTTCTACCAGGCAAATTCCTCTTGATTAATAAAGGAGCTTGCTGTGGAAGCTCAAAGCCCAGCAGCAATTAATTATTGACAGAGCATGTGAATTAGAGATAAAAGAAGTCATTCTTTCTCCACGAGAGTGATAGTAAATAAATTTAATTATGGTAGGAGAGGCTAAGGGATCTTCATCTGAATTAAGTTTTATTAGCTGAGACATTTAAAAGCATGTCATCATAACAAAGAGGTCTTGTGTAATCCTGAATGTACCACTTTGGTTAAGACAGAAGTGAATGGATTTAATGGAGCACCTGGTGGCAGATGGCCCACTGTACCATCAGGTATTGAAATTGAACATGTTTATCTTCAATTAAAACTGGTCTCCATATGCCAATAGCAAACTGACTGGATAGTAATATCACGAGCCTTATTTTTAGTTGCTGATTGGCCCTCTGCTTTGGAGGTAGTGGCATCAAAGTCCCTCCCTAAAGGAAATAGTGGATATAAAGCTGGTGATGAAAAGTATTTTTGTCAAAGAGACTGGTAGTAGACAAGAACCATGATGTAGGATCTGTGTTAGTCTACAACTTTTCATTACTATAATAGACACCTACTACAATCAACTTAGAAAGAAGAAAGGTTTTTTGTGGCTTGTGATTTCAGAGATTCCGATCCGTGGTTGATTTGCCTCTTTGTTTTGGGGTCTGTGGAAACCCAGTTCATTATGGGCATAGTGTATGGTAGGGGAAGCCTGGTCACTGCATGGCCAGGCCATAAAAGTGAGAAAAAAAATAGAGGAGATGCTGGGGTCTTAACATGCCCTTTAATAATTTTTTTAAAGATTTTTATTTATGTATATGTGTTTTTGCTTCCATGTATGTTTGTGCATTCCTGGTGCCTACAGAGTTTAGAAGAGTCTGTTGGATCTTCTAGAATTAGAGTTTCAGATAGTTGTGAGCCACCATGCAAACACATTCTAGGAACCAAACATAGTCCTCTGCAAGAGCAGCAAGTGCTTTTAACCACTGAGCCAACTTGACAGCACCTTAATATGCCCTTTCAAGGCATGATTTCAAAGAGCTAGGCTCTACCCTTAAAGACTCCACCATCCTACCCAGGCTGGAGACAAAGCCTTTAACCTATGGCTGAGGGGTGCGGGGTATTCAAGATCCCAGCTAGAGCAGGCTCTATGAGAGGTTTGCTAGGCAAACTTGGAAGCAAAGAAAGAAGAAAATTGTGTATGCTGAACCAGGTCTATGCTTGCATTCTATATGTCATTTTGTTTTCAAATGAACTTAAGGTGACTGAAGGTGTCAAGGCATGTAGATATGCTTAAGTTTTCTGAGGACACAAAGCTTACCTTATATCTTTGTTCATTCTTTATCCTTTGGCTTTGGGTTTGTTTGTTTTGTTTGTTTGTTTGTTTGTTTGTTTCATTTATACAACACTGTTTTTAGATTAACTCAGGGCTCAGAAATTTTCCTTAAAAAGTAAAACAATGCATATTTTAGGTTCTGTGGGCACATACCTGTTGCACCAACCAATTTCACTGTTTATTGTATAAAAACAGCACATAAACAATATGTAAATGAGCAAATGTGGCTGTGTCCCAGTGAAGGTTTATTTACAAGCATTGAAATATAAATTCTGCATAATTTTCATGTATCATACAATGCTGCTTTTACTATCATTTGGGTTTTTTCCCACAACCATTTAAAGGTTATAAATCCTTCTTAGCTGTGACTCACATACAAACAGGAGGCAAGGAGAATTTGCCAACCCTGGACTAGATAATCGTTGAGGTCTTGTTGAGCTCAAACATTTCCTGAAAGCTACTACAACAATAATAAAACCCTTAATTTACTGAGCTCATGCACACATGAGATTCCATGCTAAATGCTTTTTAAATATTAGCTCCCTTAATCCTCATACTACAGTGTGAAGTCGTTGCTATCATTACCTCCATTTCAGAGATTATAAAACTAATATGTAAGAAAATTAAGGGCATATCTAGGTTAAATACGACTGGTAAGAGGCAGTTTAAACCCGGGAATACAAGATTCCCAAGGAATAATACATAAGTCTTACGCTGCCTTTTCTGATAATTACATAGTCAAGCCTACATTTGGGACGTAGAGACAGAGAACTGCTCAGTGCTCATCTGTTCTTTTGGTGGCTTCTACCTAGGATATGGGATGCATATAATTTGTGCAAAGATACTAAAATATCTTGGGTGTATAGAAATAACCACTGTATTTCCTCTTTCTCCGTTCTTCTAGAAATGTGATGCCTAAGACGTTGGATGGGCAGATAACCATGGAGAAGACCCCCAGTTATTTTGTGACGAATGAGGCTCCCAAGCGCATCCACTCTATGGCCAAGGACATCAAACTCATTGTGGTGGTACGAAACCCAGTGACCAGGGCCATTTCTGACTACACCCAGACACTCTCAAAAAAGCCAGAGATCCCCACCTTTGAGGTGCTGGCCTTCAAAAACCGGACCCTGGGGCTGATTGACGCCTCTTGGAGTGCCATTCGAATTGGGATCTATGCTCTGCACCTGGAGAACTGGCTGCAGTACTTTCCCCTTTCTCAGATCCTGTTTGTCAGTGGTGAGCGACTCATAGTGGACCCCGCAGGGGAAATGGCCAAGGTCCAGGATTTCCTAGGCCTCAAGCGTGTTGTGACTGAGAAGCACTTTTACTTCAACAAAACCAAGGGATTTCCCTGCCTGAAGAAGCCAGAAGACAGCAGTGCCCCAAGATGTTTGGGCAAGAGCAAAGGTCGGACTCATCCCCGAATTGACCCAGATGTCATCCATAGACTTCGGAAATTCTACAAACCCTTTAACATGATGTTTTACCAAATGACTGGTCAAGATTTCCAGTGGGAACAGGAAGAGGGTGATAAGTGAGGCTGACGGTGTGGAAGGAAGGCTAATGAATAGAAAGGATACTATTTAGCAGAGTCCCAAATCCCCGAGGTTCAGAAGCTTCAGCCATGCTGGAGTACCAAGAAGATTGCCAACCTGATCCATTCAGGTTACATCCAATATCATGGGCATAGGCAGAGGTATAGATCTCATGGCATCCCTGTGGAGGAACCAATAGTATCTGGTTGACCAGATGGCTACTAAAATCCACCACAAGTAGTATCTTCTACTAGTTAATAGTTAAACAGGATAAACAGCTTCCTATGTCATAGACAGATGCTATGTTGTGTGTCAGGAAGGAAGGAAGGAAGGAAGGAAGGAAGGAAGGAAGGAAGGAAGGAAGGAGTACTTTGCAGGAGCTCTTACTATATAGTCTTGGGAGTCTGGATTCTAGCCTTGTATTTAATCCCTGGTACATAAACTTCTGCGCTGGCATCTCTCCAGAATGCTATCTGTGACTGAAAACTCCAATACTCCTAGGGAGCAATATCCTCCCTCCAAGGCCTGTCTCGCCTTCCCATCAGAGGCCTCATCCCACAACCTGTTGATTTCCTCCCTTCCCACATTATGAAGGCAAAGGCATGCACGTATGTTCTTCACCAAAAATAAAATAAAACAAAACAAAAAATAGCCTATTCCCCTAGAGCTTTCTCTCTGAGAGCCATCCAAGGTGGGTTTCTCTCTTCATGAGCATTCTAAATTTCAGAGAAGCCCAGCACACATCCTCATTTTGGGATCTGTCCTACATGAATGCTCCCAGTACAGGGAGATAGCATCTGTGTTTTGAGCCCTAACGTTGGCATGGATGAATGCTTGTAACTGTGGGTATCAGGCAAACCCCAGCCTCTTGGTGGGTGGCCCCTTACCTAAAGACCCTTGTCCCTAAGGATTGTGGTCCTAGGACATGCTCTAAGGGATAGGCTCTGCCCTAGATGCAAAGACAGAGCTTATTTGTTAGTTCTTTGGAGTCACCCTTCCAGTTGCAAAGAGGAAGGGAGTACCTAATGTTTTTCTGTTTGTCTCTCTGCTGCCCCCTCAGGGTCACCTCATGGTTCATTTTTCTCTACTCGGAGATGGCATTCATTGGGCCATTGGCAAGAGTGCTGCTGCTTTGCAGTGTGAAGTGGGTGGGGGAGGGCAAGGACTGTCTGCAGACATCCTTTTCAAGGGCTGCCAAATAAAGTGTCCCTTCCCATTAGTGTGGTTCAATTAAAACACAGTGTTTGACATAAAGCACTTGTTCACAGATCTCCAAAGCCAGGAATTGTAGTAAAATTGGAAATGTGTATGAGTGGGGAGAGTTGAATCTGTTCAGCTGTTATTAAACTGTCATTTCTCCCACTAAATGGAAACTGTGTTGTTATAAAGCTTAATGCAACCTGATTGATGGTTTTTGATGGTGTATTTGTATTGGTCACTTCTTACCCACCCATACCCCTACCCTGGATGGCAGGGAATAGATAAACTAGTTCCCTGACTCTTTAGAGGATTCTGTGTGCAGGGAAGGATGTTTCTTTCAGGAACACAAACTCTATGGCTGGGGAAAAGGTACTAGATTTTCATCACTTTATGAGCCATGGACTGATAAACCACATTCAGAAACAGCTGCACAAATAATTTTTTTTTTCAGATAAGAAAAGTGAAGCTGAAGGCAACAAATATGCCAAAGTAAACAAAGATACAGATCAAAATACAAGTGCTCACATTTTTAAAGGAAGGGGATACATACCTGGGTAGAAGGGTGAACTACATGAAGCTGATGTGGGGAATTGCACTGTGAGCAGAACAAAGACTGAGCAGATGTAAACCCTAGCTGAAACTCCTGTGGATTTTGTTCAAGACATATGTGCAAGCCAAGCATAGTGGAAGACACCTGTAACCACAGTAGTCAGGGAGGCACCCTCCTGGCTTTAAAGCCAGTCTATATCACCCATAGAGACACTAACTAAAAATAAGTCAATACATAAATAGGAGGTGGAAGAGAAGAGGGGAAGGGAGAGAAAAAAGAAGGAAAAATGAGTAAGGAAGAAGGGGACAGAGAACTGAGAAGGGAGAAGGGTGGAGGGAGGGAAAGAAAGGGAGGGAAGGAGGGAAAGAAAGATGGAAGGGGGTTGGGAGGAAGGGAAAGTAGGAGGGGAGGAAGGAAGGAGGGAAGGAAGACTGACAGACAGACATGGCTTTCTGAGCCCTAAACTAGGTCTGTGGTGGTACTAACCATTTCAGAAGTGTTTTTAAGGAAACTGGGATTTAGAACTAGAGTGAAGTCTTAATGTTTGTTTCTGCTCTCTTCCTTAAGCTCAATCCACTCATGGTTTTATGAGATTTACTTTCAAGGGAAGTGGTGCCAGAGTTTTTGAACCCTGCAAGGAAGAGTTATAGCATTCTTGCAGAAGTATGTTCTGTTTTGAAGTTCAGTGGCAGCTAGGTTATGAAGATATTACAATTCTGTCAAAGCACAATGTATCTGGTTCTAGAAAACCTCTGAAGATGTTCTCTGACAGGCTAAGAATGGCCATTGCAACCTGCACTCTTGTCCCATTCTGGACGGACATGTGCTGATAAAGCTCTTCAGTCTTCTTCTCTGTTTGCCTGTCCCCATATGCTCATATAACTCACACTGTAAATGCTGCTTCCACATAATAGCTGCTAAGTGTGTATCCTTACATAAATATTCCATGTAAAGATGACAAACTCATTTTAAAATGGTTAACAGGAGGTAAATATAGCGTTTTCCTTGTGAAATAAAAGTCTGGAAACCCCTCCCTCTTAAATCATTTGTATGCCATTCTGTATAAAGAAAGAGCAGAGGACTAAGCCTCCAGAGCAAGAGGATTTAAAACAAAAGAAAACAAAACAAGACAAAGCAAAAAACCAAACAAAACACAAAAACAAAAAACAACCAAACCAAACAACCAACCACTCACCACCACTACCACCAAAACCCCCTGTCATTTGGTAATGCGTTTGAAGAGTCCTAATTCTGAAAATAAATGCAAATTTGACATGTTTATAGTTTGATTTCTTCAGTGGCTAATAATATTCCTTTGACACTCCCACTCAGAGTGTGTGACAGAGCCTGTGGAGACTTGATGAATGGATCATTACCTATCCAGAGAAACCAAACCAACTTGACAACACAGAGTCGGGATATAATACTTCTGCCTGATTTAAATATGAGCATGGAAACTCCCAGGGAGATTGAACTTGGTATTTGATTTCAATTAGCAAAGCATAAATTATATTTAATGTTCTGCTCCCCTCCCTTTCCTCAAATGAGTGATAGTGGTTACTGCATGTGGTTCTAAATGAGAAAAGAACTCATCCTTCCAAATACTGTACTATAACTGCTACCATGTTCATCTCAGTTGAAAGCACCTTTTCACACCTAAAAGATATAAAAGCCTTGATAGTGCAGCTTAAGTTTACCAGCTCATAGCTCGGCGTGAGCACACACGCTCATAAGGAAATTTCTTACCAGATTCACATAGCTTTAGCTTGTGAATGGACATCATTATGTTGGTGGAGGTATGGTTGTTTACGGGATTCCATACAAGCTTAAGGAGTTTCCTCAACTAACCTCTGCAGATGACTTCCTTGACCTCTCCCATTATGCTACCCTATTATTTCCCAAGGAAAGCTTCTCCACTGGCTCAATGCTGTCAGAACAGGTAGCTGGCTTTTATCCCTGTATATATCTGTGAATTCTACAAAAAGAACTATCAATCTGACTTGCCTTTAATTTTTATATCTATAACAGAAGTATATTTAATCCTCACCTGAGTACTACTCAAGGTTGCCATGGAGACGAAAAATGATGTAATAGAGAGGGAAGCATCTGAAAATAATAAAATGCTCCATTGACAGGAAGGATGCTGATGACAATGATGATAGTGATACTGGTGAAGCTGAAGCTGCAGAGTAAAGGTGAAGACAGTGATGGTGATGAGGATGATAATCACTAAGATGGAAGATGAGGAGGAAGAGGGGGATAGTTTCTCAATACTCATTCCAGAACAATATACCTTTATTGCATTCTAAAATGGTGTTGTTAGGTAATTAATTCTGTTTTACTCACATTGAATAATCATGAAAATGCTGAGAGAAAGTGAAACATGGCTGATTTGCATAAAGCTCAGGACAGGAAATGTTTTAAAAAGCTCCCTATAAACAGAACTAAGTTGACTGAAATTCACACATTCAAATGTAAACCTCCTTTCACTCTACACTTAGAAAAGTCGTCTTCCTCTTTCTAGCTTTTTCCTTGCTCCACATTAAAGGCTTTTTAGGTTTCACAAGGACCCAGGACTCATCACCATCAATGTGAGATAAGCTTCTAAGCTATGATTTCAGTGTCTGATGTTCTAGCTCCTAAATTATACATGATCTACAGAGTTAGTGGAGAACTTGGGTGTGAAATCAAGAGCAACTCATATGTTTCAGGGTGGGAAAAGATGAAGTAGCAGGTCTGCTTTCTCATAAGAATGAGAAACTGTCATTTCCAGATAAGAGGTACAGGAGACCACATCTTAAAAATCATGAAGTGTGATGAAGTAATAAGATACCTCCTATGGCATCAAAAGAGGAAATACAGGAAAATCTGTAAATCTATAATTGGAGATGAGCAGGAATTCCTGAATAAAAAAAAAACAGAGAGCTTTAGATTGATTGTGTTTCATTCACTCCATTACATTATCTGTAGAGTAACCACATGACAACAAAAGGATATAGGGTTGGGGGAGGCAAAGGTTTGACAGATGAGTCTCTCCAACAGCTCTTCCAGAGGACCTGGGATTGGTTCTCAGCATCCACATGGTGACTCACAACCCTTTGTAACTCTAGTTCCAGGAGATCTCATGCCCTCTTCTGGCTTCTGTAGGTACTACATCAAATGGTACACAGGCATATACACAGGTGAAAACATTTATAAAAATAGAACAAAATAATAATAAAGACATTTTTAAAAGAAATATAGGGAACAGTAA